CTGTATTGAGGTGTTCTGTATATACACACACACGGATATGATGTGACAATAGTGAAGAAAAAGAGGCTATCACTTTGAGAGCAAGACACAGGAGGAGCTGGAGGGAGGAAAGGGAGGGGTGGGCAGTAATGTCATTCTATTTTAATTTTAAAATATTTCTTAAAAAGAAAATATGAGGATGTACCCTAGTACTATTTCTATTACACAGGTTCCACAGTCAACAAAAACCAATTAAATAAGAAGTAGGGCTAAAAAGGTAGAAATAAAACTGCCATCACATAGAAAAACAAATTACTCTCAAACACTGATAAGCAACTTTAGTAAGATTTCTGGATACAATGAAAATGGCCACAGTTAAGAAAAAAAAAGTAAAAAATTTATACTTTTGAAATAGAAAACTAAAGTAATTTAATAAATTTATTTGTGATGAAGAAATTATAAAGTCTAAAGGAAATTTGAAAGATAAAATAAATGTGGTTGGAGAGATGGCTCAGAGGTTAAGAACACTGGCTCATCTACCAAAGGTCCCAAGTTCAATTCCCAGCAACCACATGGTGGCTTACAACCATCTATAGTGAGATCTGGTGCCTAGTTCTGGTACGCAAACACACATGCAGGCAGAATGCTGTATAAATAATAAAGAAGTAAATCTTTAAAAAAATAAATAAATGCAGAAAAGTTCAATGCTATAGAGAAATACAGACTGTGAAGGAGAATGTATATTTCAAAGCAATTCCAATAAAAATATTAAAGTCTGGTTCAAAGAACAAAGACTAGCCAACATGGCTACAGTCCTCCTGAGCGTGAACAGGCTCTGGAGAGCCAGACCTAAAACTTCTGCAATGACAGACTAGGAGGCACAAGCAATCGGATCAGCACAGCAGAAAAGGACAGCTAGGAACATGCCACTGTACATGGAATTCCACTTCTAACTGAGAGAATACAGTGGCTGCTACCAAAAGAGTTGGTTATACAATATTGGAGAAAAAATTAAGCTGAACCCTTCCATGACACTATGGACTAAAATAATTTCAGATAAAACTCAAATGCAAAAATAAAGTTTAAAAAGAATAGAACAACATCAGATGTCTGGACAGGGAGTACTTTTAGAAGACACAAAAACGTCAATTACTAATTTAATTGCTTTATTAAATCCAAGAATGAGTTAAAGACAGAGCTCAGTGGTTTGAAAAACTACCTAGTGTTCCCAAGGTTCAATCTCCAGTACCAACAAAATCCAAAACCACATAAACCTTAAGTAGGTTAATGTCACAGCACCTGCCTATAACCCCAACACCTTGAATTGGAGGCAGAAGGAGCAAGAGTTTAAGGCTACCTTCAGCTTCGTTTCAAGGCTTGCCTGTGTGACTTGAGACCCAATCTGAAAACAACAACAAAAGCATAATAATCCTAAGAAATCTCAAGGAAAAGAAAAAGCAAACTCAGAGGTGCCTTACCATACATTAGCGATAAAACAGTGGTATAAACAAATGAACAGTCTCCACAGTCAACAGGAAAGACGGTCTCCCACTTCACAGAGGGAGGCAGGAAAAGCTACCTGGCACTAGTGTGATAGGTGCTCAACCTGGGCAGCAGCCAGGGCACAGCTGCAAGTCACAGTAAAGAAAGCACCATTCAGACTCCTGAATGGCAAAGTGCTGTTTGTGTTTTAACAGGAAGACTGCACTCTGCAGCCAGGCTGATTTATCATAGTAATCCTCCTGCCCCAGCTTATTGGGTGCTGGGATTACAGGTGTGTGCTACTATGTCTGGCTAAAAGTTAAATTTCTACCAGTATCAAATGTTCATATGAATATGGAACAATAAGGACTTTGAAAATTAACTGGTAAAAATCACTTTGGCAAAAACCTTGGAATTACACAATAAAATGAACTCAAAGATGCCCTAAGAACCAGCTTGCATAAGTGTACCAGAAGACACTGTTCTGAGCCGTGAGGTGAGTGACTGCATACTGACCTGGACACCAGCCTCTGAATTACCCTTCTATGTGATATGCCCTTTGACATGCACATTTTCACAGTAAGTTCTTTAAAATAAAGGAAGACATAAGCACCATCAAGAGAAGCATTAACACATACTGCTGAGAAGCCGAGAGTCAGACAGTTTAGACAGTGGTTCCCTGTGCAGGGCTACTCCAGGTGCTGCACACAGCACAGCTCATGGATGCTCTACAACGACCTTAGGGAATGAGACATCTATTTGCCTCATCACCTGCTGACAGCTCACATAACTTCTCCAAGGCCACACAATCAGAAATAGTGCAAAGTCCAGATGAGTGAGCAGTCTGCGTTCTGCTGCTTGCCTGTGGAGAGTGTGGTTTCCATGTTCTACGCTTCAGAATGCACACTTTATGTGCTAAGCTAATGCCCCTCGTGCTGTCCTCCCTTTATATGGAAGTAATAAACTGAAAAAATATGTAGAACTCTTCTAGTTTATAACTTTTATATAGTAAGTAGATAAAAATAAAACCTCTACTACATTCTTGGATATTTTCTATTTCTTTTTTGTGTTTTCAAAACAGGGTTTCTCTGTGTAGCCTTTGCTGTCCTGGATTCTCTCTGTAGACGAGACTGCCCTTGAACTCACAGAGATCTGCCTGCCTCTGCCTACCTGAGTGCTGCGATCACAGGTGTATGCCACCATGCCCAGTTCGCGATTTTCTATTTCAAAGGTTTAGTTTCTTCAAACTTAATACAATTATCACCAAAATTCCAATGGAAATTTTTTATGGAGAATAAGTACACATAACCAAAAAAGTAAAATATGCACATGAGAAGAACCACAAAAAAATTGAAGATACATATTAAATATTAAGCCTGTTGCTGAACTATCACGATAAAACAGTATGGTGTGTGTGTGGGGGGGGGTGTATGTGTACACATATATGGAAAAAGGAGTGCAGCAGAACATGAAGCACACAACCTGACGTGGATACACTTGGTCTCCACATCTGCACCCTTTGAACCCAGGTTTTCACTCAGCTGTGAATCAAATGCGTTTAGAAAAAGAAAAAGATTACGTCTACACTAAACATGTATAGATGTTTTTCTTATTATTCCCAAAACAATATAACAACCCTGTCCACCTATCACTTACCCTGTATTAGGTGTTTTAAGCAATATAGGGATTTATAGCATACAGAGGAGGATGAACAGTGATGACATGCAAATACTACACTATTTTGTAGACAGAAGACTTGAGTTTCTGCTGCTTACAGTGCACAGACCAGTGTAGCCTTCCCAGTAACTACATTTCTAATAAATTAAGATTAAAAATATAATAATTTAAAATGAGCACCACAGGGATCTTTCTCATAATAAAATTTAAGTTTGAAATATGAACCTAACTAAAAATAGGGGACTGGAGAGATGACTCAGCAGGTAAGAGTTCTGAACCTGGATTTGGTTCTCAGCACCCAAACGACAGCTCACATCTGTAATTCCAGTTCCAGAGAATCTGATGCCTTCTGGCTTCCAAGAACACCATGTAGCCACATGGTGCACAGATACAGAGGTATACAATAAGTCAATAAATAATTTCTTTAAAAAATTAAATTATTATTCATCTATAGAATGTAGTTTGTCATTTAAAACATCATAGGAAAAATGCTTTTACTACTTCAAGTATTTACTGAGTTAACTATCAGGACTGAGTTAACTGATTTAAGAGCTGAGAACAGTCTACAGGAAAAACAAGGTCTCCAGCTTTAAGAAGCTTACAGATGCAAATAGATAACTAAGGAAAATAATGGCAGTTTGTGATCACCAAAATCAGCAAAATTATTACAAGAGTAAAATGCTTGCTCAATAAACAAATAAGGTGGCTGCGTAATGGCTGAGGGCAAAGGTATAAACTACGGTTTCAGTGAGTGGGAGGCATACAGAGATAGGTGTCTGGATGGAAAACACAATATAAGGACAATACATCGTAACTGACTGTCCTTACATTACAACCTAAACTCATGTTATGCTGATTGGGCTAGAGGCAGACTCCAGCTTGAGGGCTTGGCTTCTCAGTCTGCAGCTAAGATCAGAGATGATGGCAGCACCTTCTCAGAGAATCGTGTGAAGGACCAAATGAACTTGCATACATCCTAGCCATAGGGGAACTGTCTGTGAGATTCACGCTAGTGGAATGTATTACTTTGTAAGTGCTCAAGAAACTTTTGACCATATAAATAAATTAGATATGTCAAAAACAGAAAGTTGGTAGTGCCAAAGAAACATGCATGCTACAATGTAACTAAGCAACAGAAGGATACTTATAAGAATATAAAATTGAAAGATATTTACAGCAGATTAAGCGGAAAATGCAGATTATATAAAAAATAAAATTTGCTTAAGATATACACACACGCGCGCGCGCACACACACACACACACGTGTGTGTGTGTGTGTGTGTGTGTATGTGTGTGTGTGTGTAATTTATGTGCATTTTTTCTTTTTTTTCTTTCTTTTTCTCCTGAGACAGAGTCTCCACACAAGACTAGGGTGGCTAGAACCCAGGATCGTCCTGCATCAATCTGCTGGGATTACAGGTATGCAGCCCTTGTTTGGCTTCTGTGTGTGTAAACTGTTTTGATGCTGAGATGGATACGCCTCGCTTATAATGCACTTCTTTAGTTGTGTTTCCTGTGTCTTGGTCTGACCCTTATGTAGTAGCATTCCTGCCCTGAGCTGTTCAGTGATGAGGCCATGGATACTGATTCAGTCCTCCAAATGCCCTCGTTACTTTCTTTGTTCTAGGACTACAACTTGCACTTGTCACTGTATCTACAGTGGTACACTAACGCTGCTTCAAACCCCTAAGAGGAAAACAGGGACAGGGGAGTAAACACCACTGCACACACCCCTACACCGGTCTCTTACCTTGACACAGTACACACACCGTCTCCTATGCAAGCCTGGCACGCTGATCTCTTACCTTGGCCACTATACACACACTGTCATATCCACGAGGCAGGCACGCTGATCTCTTACCTTGGGCCATTGCTGTCTTTCCGCCTTGTTGAACAGTTGCCTTGCTCAGCTTTGGCTCGCTGATCTGCGAACTCATTAGCGCGCCGGTCTACAATTTCTCCAGCATCAAGTGCTCTGTGTAGTCGATAGTTGACCATCTTCAGAACAATGAAAACAGCAGCTACTACGGGACAGTAAACTGCTACTATAATCATCGAAGAAGGAAGGGCCTTTAAGAGAAAGCAAATATATGTATTTTAGAATACTTTGTTTTACTCAATTCTAGAAATCTGTACCTAAAATAATGAAGTTATACACAAAGCAATTATACTACTAATTTAAGTTGCAAAGGTCAAACAACAACAACAAAAAAAAACTCCACTGCCCAAAACTGAGGCCACACATGTGGCTACTGAGCACCTGAAATGTGGCTTAGTTAAGTATGAAAAAAAAAAAGTCAATTCTTGTATTGACTGCAGGTGGAAATAACAATTGAAATTTATTTAGTTAAAAACTGCTGAAAATAATTTCCCTTACTATGACCACTACAAAATTTAGAGTTACCTGTGTGGCTCGCACAACATTCTACTGCATGGTGCCTGTGCTGACAAAGTCCACAGGAAAAAAATTCTTATAATCCAAACTGAATAGCTACAATATGGAATCACACTGTATATGAGATGTGAGCAAGAGACGGCTGTGACCCAAATACAGGCCCTGTGTATGCGCTCTGTGGAAGAGGGGCTGTTCCTAGCACCCACACAGGGTGGGCAGCCAGCCATAACTCCAGCTCCACAGGATCCGTGGCTCTCCTGTCCTCCATGAACACCAGGTACACACATAGTGCATGTATGTACACATGGGCAAAACACCATACACATAAACTATGTAGGCCTAATTTAAAGAAAGAACAAAGAACAGAAAAATGCAGAACTTAAAGCAATCAATGCATTAACTGAGTAAGTCAGTACCTGTCCTGGAGACTACAGACCCTTCTATGATTGAGAAACCTGAAACCTGAAAACCAGGGACGGCTGGGGGACAGGCCACCTGGAGGCAGGGCCACAGAGGCCCCACCGGCAAAGAGCACACAACAATGAACTTATCCAGCACCCTGCATGCGTTCGGCTGCAGACACCACGTGTCATCACATCCAACCTCAGACCCCACGTGTTACCACGTCATCAATTCAACCTCTACCAGCATTGCCATGCAGAACCCCAAACAAGCTTAGGAAGGGGAGCCTCAATGGTGGTGACCTTGGGAGTCTTCTTTGATGAGCCAAAGCTTCACACTACACACATGTGGCGCTGGGTTTGTTTAAGTGACCTGAGAAGCCAGCTGGAATTAGAAAGGAGAACAAAGCCTGATTACAGCTTTTGTGATGGGATGAGAGAAACGGGTGTACGCACAATTATTTGGCTTCTGAAATACTTGGACTAAGAACCCTGCATATGAATATAATTAAAAAATTAAACTGCTGAATATAATTTAAAATGTCCCTTAAATAACTGGCTTAGCCTTGTGATTTTAAATATAAACATCTATTTTCTTTTTTAATTATTAAATATCAGATCTAAATGCATTTTGAAAGATTTTAATAGATAAGTACTTTAAAATGCTCAATTTATAAAGGCAATTTAAATTAAAGCGCTCTTAAAGTACAAAAAAAAAATAAGCCTCTGGAAAATGAAGGTTAAAATGTTAGGAGACAAGTATGTTTAAGACTTTTAGTTAATCTGTATCTTTAACAAACCTAATATTCACTATAAAAAACAAATGACCTGAATAATCTTCTGAACAAAAAAAAAAGACCACCCTCAAACACACATAAATGCGCGCGCGTGCGCACGCACACACACACACACACACACACA